CTTGATGTGTGTTTGTGTTGTTCCTCGTTGTGTGTTTGTGTTGTTCCTTGATGTGTGTTTGTGTTGTTTCTTGTTGTGTGTCTGTGTTGTTCATCGATGTGTGTCTGTGTTGTTCCTCGATGTGTGTCTGTGTTGTTCCTCGTTGTGTGTTTTTGTTGTTCCTCGTTGTGTGTCTGTGTTGTTCCTCGTTTTGTGTTTGTTTTGTTCCTCGATGTGTGTTTGTGTTGTTCCTTGCTGTGTGTCTGTGTTCTGACTCTGTGTAGTCACTCTGTTTAACTCAGAGCTCCATCTGACTTTTATTTCTCTCTGTGGTTTTGGTTGATGCCAGAATTGCTCTGATGACGCTCGGTGACTCCCGGGGCCGGGAGAATGGGGGTCGATTCAGGGTTGGGGCCATGTCACTCAGAGCTGGAGCATTAGTGTTTCCTTCCGAGAGCAGCAGACAGACTGCTTATAGAAAAGATAAATAATTTCTCCTCTTACATGATAATAAGCCTCGTAATGTAAACTTTAAGATGATCACCAAAACTCTGACTCAGAGATGAAACTGGCTCTCTCATCTGATCATCACCACACACACACTTTCACATCATTGAATTAGTAAAAAGAATAATCTCAGCTCACAGTCCAGAGAAGCAGCAGACAAAGCTGCAGAGAGTCAGGACAGTCTGAAACGGTCCTGTAGGGAGTCAGGCTCAAGGGAGTCAGGGCCAGAGGTGTTAAGTAACTAAGTACAAATACTTTGTTACCTTACTTAAGTACAAATTTTGGGTATCTTTACTTTACTGGAGTAATTATTTTTCAGCCATCTTTTTACTTCTACTCCTTACATTTTCACGCAATTATCTGTACTTTCTACTCATTACATTTTAAAAATAGCCTCGTTACTCTTATTTCACTCTGGCTTGTCATCGTTCAAAAAAACACACACAAAAGCAATCCTATCCAGATAAATTGCGCCATCCGGATAGAGTGAATTTGATTGTGGTTGGATGAGAAGTATAAACATATACCATTCCGACACCCTATTGGTTTGTACGCGATCCATCGCACCTGCAAATGACACAAATCACGTCATACTCCAGCAAAGAAATAGCAGACGTATGTAGCCTAGTACAAAGATGTCCGTGGCAGAGCAACTAGTGATCATATCTTCAGCTCCATGAAACACATGTTAATGCTCAGTAGTACACATATATGGTTCTTTAATGTATTTGCATTGTACTAAAATGCGTTCATTTTCAATGGGCATAAATGTGGATGAAACAGGTGCATCCCAAATTTTTCAACATTAACATTTTAATATAACATTATAGTCATTATGGCCTTTAGAAAAAATGTTTTTTTGGGGAGGTGGGTAGTGCACTATAGGCCCCTGTGGCGCGGCCTAAGCTTTTGTGCTTAATGGCATTTTTTTCCCTTACATTACCTTTACTTTTATACTTTAAGTAGTTTTGAAACCAGTACTTTTACACTTTTACTTGAGTAAAAAGCTTGAGCTTCAACTTCTACAGAAGTCTTTTTAAAACCTAGTATCTATACTTCTACCTGAGTAATGAATGTCAATGCTTTTGACACCTCTGGTCAGGACTGTAGGGAGTAAGGAAAGTCTGAGACGTCCTGTAGGAGTCAGGACTGTAGGGAGTCAGGACAGTCTTAGACAGTCCTGTAGGGAGTCAGGACTGTAGGGAGTCAGGACAGTCTGAGAGGTTCCTGTAGGAGTCAGGACTGTAGGGAGTCAGGACAGTCTGAGAGGTTCCTGTAGGGAGTCAGGACTGTAGGGAGTCAGGACAGTCTGAGAGGTTCCTGTAGGGAGTCAGGACTGTAGGGAGTCAGGACAGTCTGAGAGGTTCCTGTAGGGAGTCAGGACTGTAGGGAGTCAGGACAGTCTTAGACAGTCCTGTAGGGAGTCAGGACAGTCTGAGAGGTTCCTGTAGGGAGTCAGGACTGCAGGGGAAGATCTTCTTAAAATGTTTCAAAGAATCAAACTGCTAGAGCTAAAATCATCAGAGGAAGAGAAAGACGAAAAGTCCTTGTTTCAAACATTTAAAAACATCTAAAGAAATGATCATTCAAAACAAGCAGACAGAATGAAAAGTATAACAGATTAACAATAAGTAAAACGTGAGTCACTTCAAGTGGTCACCTGAGTAACTGCAGTTTGTTACACGCCTGTATTAGCTTAATTCAGGATGCTGCTTTAAACATTTGCAGATTTTCAGATGACTCAGCAGTATGAGGGAGAGATTTTCTAAAACACATGTTCATTCAGAGTGAAGTCACACATGACTAACATCTCAATCATTTACTCTCATCTTTTATTAGCGACATGTTCAACACTCGGCTGTGACTCAGTCCAACTTCTAACTGTGACAGGATGTCCACTTAACCACAAGCGGGGGACATATAATCATCAACTTCTGGAGAATTCGTTTGATGGAATGAAATCTGCAGATGATTGTTGAAGAGATAAAATGGATTTATGTGAAATCTCAGAATCAGAGAGAGCCGGGGGCAGGTCGAGGAGAGAGAAAGTATTATGGAATGTTTTTCTTTAAAAATGAAGGATATTTGAGATGAGATGAGATAAGATACGATAAGATAAGATACATTTCAGAGAATCTGTTTGGGTGCAGAACCAAACCAGACAGTGACGGAGTTGCAGAGAGTTAGAGCAGACGTTTGTGTAAAAGGAGAAGAGCAGTGAGGAGAGGACAAATCCATGGGGAGCGCCAGGGCTGCATGTGATGCTCCCCAGCCTCCTGTCAATCAGGAGGTTAGTGATCCACTGACAGGAGGAGGCCGGTACTGAGAGCTGGTTCCATTTGTGCTGAAGGATATCTGGGATGATGGTGTCACACACACACACACACACACACACACACACACACACACACACACACACACAACACACACACACACACACATACACACACACACACACACACACACACACACACACACAACACACACACACACAACACACACACACACACAAACACACACACACACACACACACACACACACACACACACACACACACACACACACACACACACACATCCTCTAAGGCCGCAATCTCACAGAGATGCGTCGCTACAGGAGCGGGCGCTCATAAAACGCATCAAGCTGCGTGCCCAAGGCGGCGATTAAAGGTTATTTGGTAACAGAGGATTCAAGCAGACTCCGAGCTCTCGCTGTTGCTGTCCTATTGGATGAGGAGGGGGCAGAGATTTTGGGTTCATGACATACTGAGCAAAAGAAGACAGTGAAGACCATCTCTTTAGTGAGCTGTGTCTACACGCTACTCATTCTTCTTCGTGGGAGAGAAAGAGGTAAAGTAGTAAGGCCCACCTCTTGACTAATTTGATTGGCTCCCTGTGCCAGCTGTAACATTGATGAGCGGTGCGACTAAAATAATAATAATAATAATAATAATAAATAATAATAAATAATGATAAATAATAAATAAAATAATATTTTATATATTGTGCCGAGGGTCTCTGAGGGTCTGGTGCTGTGCTTAGGGTCTTTGACGGGTCTGGCAATGTGCCGAGGGTCTCTGAGGGTCTGGTTCTGTGCTTAGGGTCTCTGAGGGTGTGGCTCTGTGCTTAGGGTCTCTAAGGGTCTGGTTCTGTGCTTAGGGTCTCTGAGGGTGTGGCTCTGTGCTTAGGGTCTCTGAGGGTCTGGTTCTGTGCTTAGGGTCTCTGAGGGTGTGGCTCTGTGCTTAGGGTCTCTAAGGGTCTGGTTCTGTGCTTAGGGTCTCTGAGGGTGTGGCTCTGTGCTTAGGGTCTCTAAGGGTCTGGTTCTGTGCTTAGGGTCTCTGAGGGTGTGGCTCTGTGCTTAGGGCCTCTGAGGGTCTGGTTCTGTGCTTAGGGTCTCTGAGGGTCTGGTTCTGTGCTTAGGGCCTCTGAGGGTCTGGTTCTGTGCTTAGGGCCTCTGAGGGTCTGGCACAACTGGGGGACAACTGGGCCGAGTGTGAGTGAACCCTGAAACAGACTGACAGACAAACAGACAGTACACGTCTGTCTGTCTGCACGCTTATGTAAATGAAGCAGAGCGAGTTATACAACATGATGAGTCAGAATCTGTTTTTGATGAACAGACGGAGCAGCAGAAGACGAGTAAACAAACATCTCTGATTTTGCTGGATGATAAGAGATTATTTAGATCCAGCTTTAGATTGTTGGCTTCATATGTTTAAACTGTTTGTTTAGTTCAGCCCAGGATCAGCACAGAGACGTATTAGATTTATTTAAAGATGTCGCTGAGCCGGTCATGTTTGCTCCCCGACTCTTTCTGCAGTCAATAAGAAAGTTATTTTATACAGAGAGTCAGACAGTAGCTCAACATATTTCATATTTTATTATTATTTCATTGTTTTATAATAATAATAATAATATATTGGTTTTTTATAGCGCTTTTCTAGGAACCCAAAGACGCTTTGACAAAATATAAAACCATAAAAACAAAACAAAAAACGACGAGGACAGTACAATAAAGAAGTAATGTAGGGGAGGAGGGGAGTTAGTGGTTGTAGGCAATATTGAAGAGGTGAGTTTTGGGGATTTCTTGAACGAGCTGAGTGTGGGGGAGTCTCTAATGTTTTTTGGGAGTGAGTTCCAGAGGGTGGGAGCAGCAACAGAGAAAGCCCTGTCCCCCCAGGACCGAAGGTTTGTCCTGCAGGGGGAGGGGGGGGGGGGCAGGAGGTTTGCATCTGCAGACCTGAGAGTGCGGGTGGGAGTGTGTTGGTGGAGGAGGTGAGACAGGTAGGGGAGAGCCATGTTGTAAAGGGCTTTGAAGGTGATGATGAGGAGCTTGAAGTTGATACGCTGTGGGATGGGGAGCCAGTGGAGGTCATGAAGGACGGGGGTGATGTGGTCTCTGGTGTGGGAGTGTGTGAGGAGACGGGCTGCGGAGTTCTGAATGTATTGAAGTTTTTTGAGCGAGTGTGATGGTGATCCGTAGGGGGTGGGGGTGACAGCAGCAAGTTTGAGAGATGGCGGAACCTGTGGAAAAGGAGGCGTTAATTGTTGAGATAATGAGTGGGGATAGGGTAGGAAGGCAGGCCTTGACATATTTGTATGTATTAAAGGGGAATTAAACTATCTGAACACAAATGTCAAGAGTCACTGATTTAGTTTTGTGTGTTTGTTTATTTCAGTTTTAAGATATAAATTACTTTTATTTTGACATTCATCCTAGTGTTCATATTCCTAGATAAAGCTCTGAGTGTTTTATGTTCACTTTGTCAGATGTATCCTCAAGTTCCTCTTTTCACTGTGTGCACACATTTCCCTAGTCTTGTCCCCAGTGTTAATCAATTAATCAATCAATATTTTTATAGAGCCATTTCCTAACAACTATTGTCTCGAGAGGCTTTACAAAAGAGCATATGGATTAAGATGTAGAAAGGATTTCTCCTTCGTATTCCTTGTGTTCCTGTTGTCCACACTGAAACCCTTTTCACACATATGGAAATCTCCAGAAAAACTCCGGAGATTTCTATCAGGAGCTGTATGTGTGAACGCAACAGCCAAGTGTTTTACTCCGATATTACCCGGAGTTTATCCTGCCAGACCCCTAGTGTTTTTTCTGCAGATAATCCGGAGGAGTTGATGTCTGAAAATGGCTGAATATACTCCAGAGATTTTCAATTCGAGCCAATAGGAAGAGAGTGACGTTTATATACAGTGACTGGCTAAAGTGTCTGCCCGCGACCACTACGATCTCTGTGCACGTAATAAAACGGCTGCATTATGTTTTCTGTTCATCAGTATGTTGTTCTCTTTTGTGGATGTTGTCATTCCATTGGATTACACATAGCATTGATATAAAGGCAAATATTGTCATTATAACGTCGTGTAGCGGACTCTGTTGCTTCGGCCGCTACTTCCGCATTGTTTATTTACGTCACGTCTTACGTCGGGAAATCCCCGCGGCCCCTCCCCTCTTACAGGGAAAGTCCCCCGCTGTGAGGAACATATGTGAACGGCTAGTTCGGGAGAATCTCTGGTGAAGTCCTCCTGTAAATATCTAGACATTATCCGGAGTGAAAACGGCTTAACTGAAGGCTCTACCTCCCACAGTACATTTAGAGACTGTAGGTACCACGACCAGGCCTGATAACTGAAGGCTCTACCTCCCATAATATATTTACCGTAATGTTCTCGAAGGGTAATATGGCACTATTAGCTCTTTAAGATAAGCTGCAGATCCAGACAAACCAAGTCATTTTCAGTTTAACACTCTCTCCTGTTCCTAACCGCTGTGTGGTTAAAGTGGAATCAATCTTCAGGTGAACTCTCGACCTGTTTGTTGTGTTGCTGTGTAGGCAGGCAGCAGATAATCTTTACTATTCTAACTGTGGTTACTGGTCCACACAGACATATTAAACAGGACACTGAATGTCTTACAACACTTTATTTGTCTGTTGTCTTACATCGTGTGTGTTCAGTGTGTAATGTCAATGCTTTGCTGTGTCTGACTGTCAGCTGCTTGTTTATCACTCTGGTGGAGGCGGAGTCATGGTGCAATCCTTCTTGGACAGCTCAGATTAGAACCGTTTCCTAGGGAACGAGTTCTATTGGCTTCTCATGTTGGAAAACACATTAAGGAGCAAACAGTGAGTTACTATGTTGAATCTTTGTGAGTCCTAATGTCTTGGGTGTCTTTAGAGCGAGGGCTGTAAATCTATGGTGACATTTCAAACATGGCTGGAATCTGTGGTTTCCAGTCGTTCCAGTGCTCATACCAGTGGTCATACCAGTGGTCATACCAGTGGTCATACCTTGGGTGTATCCAGCTTTGGATAGTACAGAAAACTTCTCCTCAGAGCTCTTCATACTGTCCTTCACATGAATGTCCTGTGTTATCCTGTTCACCAGGTACAGATGTTTACCTGGCACAGATGTTTACCTGGTACTGATTTTCACCTGGTACAGATGTTTACCTGGTACAGATGTACTCCTGGCACTGGTTTTCAGTTGGCACAGATGTTCACCTGGTACAGATGTTCAGTTGGAACAGATGTTCACTGATTACCAGGTACAGATGTTTACCTGGTGTTCAGTTGGTACTGATTGTCGTCACTTGTCGTACTTTATATTTGAACAAATTTTACGTGTTGTAATTCTTAAAGTCTAGTAAATTCCTTTTCATTATTTCTTTGGCTTGTTTTTTATTATTGCCTTGTTTTGTCTTATTATCAATCAATCAACCCATATGTTCATATGTAAAGCACCAATTAATAACAAATGTTATCTGTAGACACTTTACCAAAAGCAGGTCTAGACCACTTCATTATGCTATATAACAAAGACCCAACTGCGCACTAAACAACATTGAACTCATCCCACCCTGTCCCGTCTTATTGACCTGGGACCTGTGTCTGAGGAGTTCATCAGGGAGATGACTTCAGGCTTATGTTGATTTTCTGACTGTTTATAACCCTGCAGTGGGTTGATGGATGCGTGTGAGAAGCATGCTCAAACCTGTATGCTTTAATATGTTGTTGGGGTTGTATCAAGTCAACTCTGGTTATATTCTTTAATAATTATATTTAATTATTATTAAGATAAATAACAATATCATTAAACTATGTTTAATCAACTCGGGGGAAACCACCCTGAAATCAGGGAAATATAACCAAAATATCACTAAAATCAGTCTGAAATTAGTTACTTAATTACTAATATTATTAATAATGAATAACTATATTTAATAAATAAAAGGTGTGAAATCCGTACACAAAGCCCTCATGTCCAGCTTATATCACAATGCAAATAAAGCAGTAATCACAAACAACTGCTCTCTTAAATTATAACAGAATTTATTTACATCAACATCAATCCAAAATCAATGAACTTAATCAAACAAATAACTATTAAAAACTAATCTAAGCAAACAAACATTATCAAGCAAAACTTGTGAATGAGGTGTAAAGTGTAGTTGTGTGTGTGTGTGTGTGTGTGTGTGTGTGTGTGTGTGTGTGTGTGTGTGTGGATGAGAGAGAGAGGAGGGAGAGAGAAAACAAGATGGTGGAGAGAGACAATGCACCATGTGGCTTTGTTACATGGTGACAAAATGGTGGACAACAAAGGAAGCCGTGTGGCTGCCTTTTGAAATAGTTTGAGCTCTCTGAGCTGAGGTCAGTAACTGTTACTTTAACACCAGAAAACCAGTGGCCGGACTTTGATTCAACGGCAGGTACACTGGTCTTTCTGTTTGTGAAAGCCGTTGAATAAGGATAAACTAGCATAGCATTACACACATAGGCGAACACAGTGGTTCATCACAATAAAACAGATGCAGCAGCTTACAACAGATAATAAACAGAATGTGATGTCTCGTCAACGATGATGCATAATTATCAGTGGTTATAAAAGAAACATCACTATTTCTGAAACAATTTCTGCCCAGACCAAAGCTCTTACTTGGGGTAACTCCGGGTGATCATTGAAAAGTTGGTTAGATTGTCACTCTGTTGAATATTAAATCAACAGATTCAGGCAGGTTTCCTTCATGGCAGATGAAGGAGCAGGGTAGCGGGATTCAGAGCTTCGACCAGAGCACTGCTCTAGGGTCTTCTGGTTGCAGGAGCCGAGTTCTTTATGTGTCCTTGTGGATTCAGAGATCAGTGGGCTTCCTTCAGCGCTCCTGTCCAGTTACGTTCAATGACGTCTTACGAAAAATCAAAGGAAAGAAACTCTTCCTTTTGTTTGAACCTGATAGCATCTGATTGTGCCCAAAACTCCTAAAAATATGCAGTGGAAGTAGTCAGCTGAATCCTCTGATGCTTGAATTCAGCATGTGAAAAGTTACCTAGACTGAGCAACCTCAGCTCTGGAGTTTAACCTATGTAAGTCAAGAGCAGGAAGATTGCCTCCTCGAATGCTGGAGTCCATCTTGTTGGAGAGTGTGTCCTCTGGTGTAGTAGACCACACTTGAAGAGAAAGAAGCAATGCCTGGCAATTGCTTTTAAAGACTGGAACTGCCTGTGAGTTTACCTCAGGCCTCTTCCAATGAGGATAGAGAATTCAGACACCCCCCACCCCCCCCACTTTTCACACCTATTTGTTAGTTGCTGTTGGGGGGTGCTGGGCTAAGACTCCTTTGTTTAGTTCCCTCCAAAACAACTCTAGTCAGGCCTGAGAACTACAATACAGGCCTGAGTCCTTCGTCCAGCACACATGGCTGAGGCTCAACAATGTCTTCTTACTTTCTATGACCTCTGGCTTCTCTCATCTCATCAAATCCAAACACGTCAAGCCCATGACAGTCCTTGTGTTTTATTTGATGCTATGGTAACGGTTTGGATCTGTGCCTCTTGGTTAACAGTGTTCTGGAAAGCATGGGTGCCGCTAAAGTTGGCCAAAAGTGCACAAGCCCACATGTCTGGTTTCCACAATGCTTATTGCTTATTAAAAACTACACATCAACCTTACAAAGCCAGGTTGCACAGCTACTATTTTATCATACATGAGCAACATGGCGTCCACACGAAACCTCACACCAGGGTTAAGTTGAGAAACAAAACAAAAACCGCTCAAACTAAGTTTAAGGATAAAAACAACGTGCTGAATAGGGACGTCGCTCCCCTAGTAACTTAGCAACACGGTGTGTCTTAATGGTAGATTCCACAGTTTTCACTGGTACACTCTGCTCACATAATAAATAAAGATGATGGCTTGTGAGCTCGTTGTCATCTTGCTATTTCAACATGATGCTTTGAGCACTGTACTTTTGATTTCAGCCTGATATTATGAGTTATTTACAGATTTATTTAAACTCTTTCTTCTTTTCCTGTCTTCCTCCAGGCCCAGCAGCTGTGCTTCTGGCTCTTTCTTTGCTTCCGCCCGGCGCTGGCTGGTGTCCCTGGTCCCTGCCGTCACTCTGTAACCCAGGATCATTTCCTGAGCCTAAACCGCCTGGTGAGAGGTCACCCAAACAGCTAATAGGGAGGAATTTTGTATTCAAAACACAATAAAGGGTTTCTAATTCTCAATAAAAGAAAAGCAGTTTTATTTTTCAGTCTCGGCATTAAAACCTCTGATTGTTTCCATGTTATGGGCTGAGTCTATGTTAGTACGAATTTTCATGAATTCATACATTTTGGTAACTTTCTGAATGAACCATTTAAATCTGTTTACCATCTAACTCTTCTCTCAGGTTCAAGATGAAACCATATCTATGTAAGGCATCTCATGGCATCAGAGTTATATTTTGTTTGGAGTCAACTGTCTGTTGGAAACAAAGGGTTTGCTAAGAATGAAATGTATATGTCTGACATTTACGAGTCAAGCAGATGCCTTGCCTTATAGAGATGTACCAAAATAGCCAAGAATGTGTAGGATGTACCTTCTAGCAGAATATAAGCAAGTCTGTGAACATAGAAACTTTGTCATCATTTTGTTGGTTCACGATTGTTAACCAATTGTGTTCTGTTACAACTGTCTGACCTCGGCCGATTAAACCACGTTATAATCCACAGTCTGTTTCACGATTTCATCATTGAATTTATACAGCAGCAACAACCCCCACCCATCAGTCTATCCACTACTGAATGTGTCAGATGGCTGTGATTAAAACATTTGACTCACCACCTGCAATCTAACCCCTGCTGGTCTCAGACTGAGTTTGTTGAAGTGGTTAATTTCTAAAACATTGGGCTCATTGCTGCAGGCACTACTGGTTCTGAATCTCAGTCCAAAGAAAGGCTTGACTCTTGTTTTCAGGAGCTGTTCAGGCTGAGAGGTGCCAGGAGGTTGTGGTGAAACTCACCAGCCTCCAGTTGACCGCGGCTGTTTAGAGATCTCCCTGGAGACCGTGTGGGTCGGGTCTACGTGACAGCAGAGAACGGCTCTGACTGTTTGTGCTCATGCATCACAGTCCAGAGAACTCCACCGCCTCAGATTGTTTGTCCTGAAATGGACACCTCCTCTGGAGGATCCTGTGCAGAGGTTGAAGGCATGAATCACAGTGGGCCATGTTTAGCCTCCTTTCTGGAAGCTGCTGTTGGACACCAGCACTAGAGGAAGTCCTCTGGCTGAAGTGGTCTTTTGGGTTTAGTTAGCTGAGGGATTTCTGGAAGCTGCAGACAGGTACAAACTGAAGAGGAGGGATTTGGTTTCTGTGATTAGAAAAGTAAAAACCCAGCTGTGGGATGAGATTAGGAAAAGGACTTTCTATTGACCTCAAGGAAACTCTGTCAGACTGTTAGCTTGACTCAGACTGTTTTTAGCTGGTGTGGAGAACTGCTGACCTGGGGCCTATATGACGAAGCAAGTTCAACATACCATGGGTATCTCTGGGTCATTCGTCTTCAAAACCCTGACATCAGAGATTACACTAAACAGTCTGATGAAGCTGGTTATCAGTTTAAATCAAACCAAAGAGAAAATCCTGCTAAGGGGTGCTTTATCCCCATCACAAGTCCGTCTAGCCCTGGTTAAGCCCCCTAATGTATTATGGTAGTTTTCTTTTCTTTATGAATAAACTGTAAAAATAGTTTCCCACACATAGACGATACTTGGGCGAGAGGGAGAGAGAAAGTGCAGGCAAGCACGTTTCCCTGCTCCTCTCTCTGCTGTCATGACTGTGAGCATCGCAGGGCATGCTGAGACACACACACACACACACACACACACACACACACACACCATTGCTGCACACATACACACACACACACACACACACACACACACACACACACACACACACACACACACACACACACACACACACACACACACACACACACACACACACACTGGCGCACCAGCTTTTTACTTTTAGTGCTACAGCACACAGTTGATCCATGATTTTTTTTCTGGACTTAAAGAAGGCCTCCACTGTGTCCCATGGGTGATACTGATTCAGCAGTAATGCCGGCCTTTTGCTAAACTGTTGTGGTTCAGAGGGAGGAAGAGACGTTCAGCGCATGCTCTGCAGCCACCCCCCCCCCCCCGCCGTGCTCTGACCAACAGGTCAAACCATTTAAATGTGCAGCAGAGCAGACATCGTGTTGTCATCTGTCTTCAGATATCACGATCAGATAGAGGGATAGCGTCAATAGATGGATTATCTCTCGCTGCTCGTACAGTGGGTTAAGAGCAGCAGATAATGAAATGGACTAATGGAGATATAATTGTAGCTCCACTTCACTGTGCATGGAGACACAGGCTGAGGGGTCCAGACATCCGGAGGGGGGGGCTGGAGTACAGCTGGTTAACATTAACAAACTGACAGTGGATTAACTTTGTGATGTTTCCTCCACAGATTGATAACCAGTTGGATAACAGCTGTTTCATTATCTACCCGTTCACCGAGTGTCTCAATCTGGTGAGTTTATTTAAAGAAGTAAAACATGAGCAACACACTTTATGAAGATCTGAAGCCCTGTTTCCACCGAGCGGTCTGGTATGGATCAGTACAGTTTGGTTCGGTAAAGCCTGATCCTGTCTATGTTTCCACAGCCAATCGTAGTTACCATACTCTTTTTTTAGCCGCTTCAGCTACGTAATAGTGTGAGAATCATAGCAGTGCGACACAGTAGACAAAGAGCAACAATGGAGGACATCCAGCAGTGTGTGGTTGTTCTCATTGGCTTGTGGTTCTTTGTTACAAAATGAAGCTTTGTTTCAGACGAGGATGTGTGCCGCGAGGAAAAATACAGCCATCCTTTAATACCGCTGTCACACAGGAAGTTACGATTCTTTGGACCAATCAACGGACTGCAGTGTTTAGCTCCAGCTTTTAGGGTCGGATCGGTAGACTTGGCACCCCAACAGAAGTATAGCAAAAAGTAAGACGGTACGGGACAGTAATTTGGGGACTTTCCCGACTTTTAATAATGGAAACGCCACAAAATGACGAACCGAACTGAACTGCTTGGTGGAAACGGGGCTTCAGTGAGCTCCATGTTTCTTTAAAAACTCAGTCTCACTTCTCATCAGCTCTAATGAAGGCTTCTCTCTGATCATTAGCTTAAAACGGAATAAAAACAAACATCCATATCAAAGACATGAACCACAAACACCTGCCAACGATAGCAAATCAAAAGATTCAAATCTTTTATTGAGCTAAAACTACAAAAGTGAGCTGGAGAACATCAAATTAAAGATTTGGATGTTTGTGAGAGAGCTGGCATCATGAAACGTTCAAACCAAAACTTGTTGCTGTGAGCTGTATAAGTTCTGGCTCTAGTGGCTCTAGATTTATGAGCTTTTTGATGAGGACTGGAAGAATCTGTCTCGGATTAATGTCTACACCCTGCTCATTAACTCCAAAGTGATTTCACCTGAGCTCCGGGGCAGAGCCGTGTTTAATGATGCCTTGTTCTTCTTTCAGAGTAAAGTGTGTTGTGTTAAAGCAGCGTTCCCACACATCCTCGATCTCCTCAGCTCACATTTCCATTATGCCCAGAGTTCAGACAACAGACGATACGTCAGCACATTGGAAACCGTCATCTTCCACCTGTACTCACAGGGCTGCGTCCCTGAGATCAACGAGGAGTATGAGGTGAGAGCTTCAGTCTGCAGACATCACGTCCTTACCGGTTCTGTACAGGTGAGCTGAATCAGTGAGGTTAGTACACTCTGTTTAACAACGACTCATAACACAACAGTTCTTCTTCATGTCATCAGCAGCAGGTAGGACAGCAGGGACCTTCTCAGGTGTTTGTCTTTATATTTACTGTAAATGAACAGCCCATGTGTTCACCGGATTATCTGAAGGTTTTCATTCTGCTGATGACACTACGACAGACATGAGGTTTCTTTAATTTGACGTACACTTTGAAAGTGCAGCCAGTACAATGACATGATGCTGAGGTCAGTTCTTAACTCTTAACTTCCTGCTTGTAGAAACATATATGATCAAATGAGACTTCAGAAGAAAAACTTGCTGCTCTGTTAGTTCAGTGTTAGCATGCTACTCAGAGTTAGCTCAGTGTTAGCATCCTGCTCTGTGTTAGCATGCTACTTGAGGTTGGATCAGTATTAGCATATTGCTCAGTCAGCATGCTGCTAAGTGTTAGCTCAGTGTTAGCATGCTGCTCAGTGTTAGCATGCTGCTCATCGTTATAATGGAGGATGGAGTACTTCCTTAATGCAGCTCAAACACTCAGACACTTAAAAGTCCAACAGTGAGACCACCAGAACTAACTGTTACTGTCTGATGCGCCATGAGTTTACGACTCTGTCAAAAGAAAAGTCTGCAGTTACGATCTGTGTTTTCATGAAGCATCATATTAAACTTTACCTAAAGCTGAAGCAAACTGACACACTGAGCACATTGTGCAAAAAAGGTTCTTTCAACGTGCTCTGGTGCTTCCTCTCTTTGGTACAAGCTGTCTCTCGATTACTGATGATTTTATGGTTCATTTGGAGCCAATAGGGTTTACAACAACTGGAGGACTGCAGAGTGGAGACGATATATATGGCACATTAAAGCTTGTAGGTTTGGATCGACCGATTGAAGAAGGTGAAAGTTGAAGGTTTTAATCTGTGCACACACATTCAAGGTTACAGATCACATTAAAACAGACTGTTTTTTATTTTATTTTACCTATATGCTTCAGTTCATTCATGAGGACCAATCCATCGACGGGATGCAATTAGACATTTATAAATTATTACGATCTGAATTCAGTGTTGTTAATCAAACGTACTGTCAAACATTCTGTTTGTTTGTTTTTTGTGTTCGTGTCTGGCTGCAGCATCCTGGACATGTTGAAACTGATGTGTGGGGGCCTGGTTGAGAACTGGTGGATGCCTGGTTGACAATTGGTTGTGGCCTGGTAGAGGCCTGGTTGAGGCCTGGTTAAGAACTGGTGGAGGCCTGGTTGAGACCTGGTTGTGGCCTGATTGAGACCTGGTAGAGGCCTGGTTGAGGCCTGGTTAAGAACTGGTGGAGGCCTGGTTGAGTCCTGGTTGTGGCCTGATTGAGACCTGGTAGAGGCCTGGTTGAGGCCTGGTTGTGGCTGAGGCTTGGTTGATGCCAAACTACAGAGTTGCAGGATTCAGGTGTCAATGATTGTTTCGGGGTCTTTGTGAAATATGATTTCCCTTGTTTTAGAAATGATCCTGAGTTAAAATAGTCTGGATTCGATGACTGTGCTGGTTCGTTTCTCTCAAATTCACACGAAAATGTTGAAATTCTATTCAAATGAATTTATTTAAAAATTTTTGCTCCATTTGTTGTTCTGTTTCTTACATCTGTATCTCAGTTCATCAAAGTTTAAGTTTAACAAAGATTGTCTCTCATGTTCATGTTTTTCTCATGCTGGATTGTCGGTGGAAATAAAAAAGGTATTGCTCTCGAAGGAAAGAGTCCTGTGTTCAAAATAACATGGTTGATTGGTTGGTTAATTCGTTGGTGGGCTTTGTTGCTTTGCTGCTTTGTTGGTTCATTGCTTGGTTGTTTTTTTGGTTGGCTGGTGGTTGGATGTATTGGTTGATTGATTGACTGTTTAATTGATTGATTAATTTATGGTGTTCTTTGTTCCAGGACAGTCCAGTCCGGTTCCTGAGGATTGAGCAGAGTTCTCCTAAGGAGGCTCTCAAGAAGGTCCGCTCTGTGATCAGGATGTACATGAGCCTGATAAATGAGAACTCCGACCCCCTGGACTGGGACTGTAAGGATCAGTACGCTGCTGAGGACGACCCACAATCCACACCTGGAACCAGCCAACCAGGTAAAGAACTTCTGTACCACAGGTTAACATCAGGACCAGTGAGCTTCATTCAATCTAAGAAAATCAAGTTAACTTTAATTCAAAAAGGCTTTGAGATCTGTAATAAGGTTGAGTTACAGTAAAGGTTCACATCACAGATGAGATAACAAAAAGCTGTTATAAAAGAAAAATAACTGCTATAACTATATTCAAGAAGTCTAAAAAGGTCCTTAAATAAAGAGTTGTATGGAAAGCTGTTTGGCCAATTATTCCATATTCTTCTCAAGCTTCCTGTGCTAGTTCGGTCTTTGGCAACACAAGTTAACCAGTCGATCACAAAAATGTGTAAATTGTAGTTGCTGTGGTGGTCTGACAGATGTGTAGATTGTAGCTGCTGTGGTGATCTGACAGATGTGTAGATTGTATCTGCTGTGGTGGTCTGACAGATGTGTAGATTGTAGCTGCTGTGGTGATCTGACAGATGTGTAGATTGTAGCTGCTGTGGTGATCTGACAGATGTGTAGATTGTATCTGCTGTGGTGGTCTGACAGATGTGTAGATTGTAGTTGTTGTGGTGGTCTGACTGTTGTGTAGATTGTGGCTGCTGTGGTGGTCTGACCTGCACTTGGCTGTCAGGGTGTGTGCCAAACATATTCCAAACAATTAGAGCTGTCACAGTTAACTCTCTTTAGCTCAGCATTTATATTCTCGAGAGTTTAATGACACGAGAGAGATGCACAGAAAATAAATCACTGTCAGAGAAACCTTTAGAAGAAAGAAAGGAGTCTGACGGAGAGATGGAGTCGTAGGAAACATACCGACTGAAATCCAGTCTAGCTTGTGCGAGGAGACTTTTAGTGATGTAGAGTTGGCGTTTGTGTGCAGTGGTGTGGTAATGTCTGAAGAAGTGGTTATACTCTTAATGTGTCCCGTCCTGCAGAGGAAAAATAGTGTCTGTTATAAACACTGACATGTATGACTGCTCTGAAATATTTATTTCACATAAACAATGAGACTTTGGTATTTACACATGAACACTCAACTTGTGCTGCTTGTCTTCAGGGAGGAGAGATCGTTACATGAACATCAACCACAGAAAAAGAGAAGGGTTACTTAACGATTTGGTTTCACAATTCAAGTAATCAGTTATTATTAAAGGGCCCATATTATTTTTTTCCTGGTTTTATATGCTCTTTAGTGTGTTTTCCATGTATCCTGTGCATGTTTACGCACATCTATTTGCAAAAATTCAAAGTCAGCGTAAACGCAGCTTCTCCTACGTCCTCCTGTTAGCTGCAGCATTAGCTGCATGTAACACTCGGTTCTAGCCCCCCTCGATTAAAAATTTGCCAGTGTGACGTCTTGTCAGTGTGATATCACTGATCTAAGCCCATTGGCTCGTTGTGGAAAGCCCAGCAGCTCATGTTGCACGCCCATTAACTTCTGTAGCGCGTCCACGATATGCCATAGCCTGCGGTAGCACAGTAGTGCTAAGGTGCTCATGAGCGACTGACGAATAACGGCAGAGCCGACAGGCCGACCAATCAGATCAGACTTGGCACACGTGGGGACTCTGAACGTGAAAACAGACACTTTTTTCGAACTTTAGCTATTGTGAACATACTTTAGTAGCTACATAGATTAAATATACGAACCCCAAAAAGGGCATAATATGGGCTCTTTAAGAAATGTTTATACCCTCTGGACATTGAACAATATGTGGGTTTACCTGTGTACACCTGTGTATACCACATATACCTGTGTATGCTACACTTTGTATACTACACATACCTGTGTATACTACACATACCTGTGTATACCACACATACCTGTGTATACCACACATACCTGTGTATACCACACATACCTATGTACACTACACCTACCTGTGTATACCACACATACCTGTGTATTCCTACAGATACCTGTGTATACCACACATACCTGTGTATTCCTACAGATACCTGTGTATACCACACATACCTGTGTATACTTGCGTATACCTGTGTATTCCTGGGCCTCGAGTTTGGAAGTGTTTCTGGTGTTTCTGTGCAGAGCATGAAGTCAGTTTGAGGACAGAGAGGAGACCCATCCTGTAATCCGACACAGTAATGTCATCACCACGATTAATCTAAACCAATCAGAGACGCCGGGCAGGAGCTAATAATGAAATGTGTGTATATAAGAAAAGTATTCACTCTGAGACATGTTAATAATAATTTGATTCATCGCTGAACTTTGTCTTTGTCCTCAGAGCGTCCTGCGAGTCTGGCTCTCTGAGTGCTGCTGCTGCTAATCCAGAACTGGAGCTGAGTCATGAACTCTCTGTCGTCAGGGAGACTTGAAGCTGCTCTGTGAGGAGGAGGAGGGGAAGGAGGAGACAGAGGAGGAGGAGTAAGAGGATGGGGAGGAGGAGGGGGGAACACAGGAGGAGGAGGAGGATCCTGGATGAAGACCTGATGGAGGAGCACTGAGGAGGACTGAGGAGGACTGAGGAGGAGAAGGAGGAGCAGAGGAGAGGAGAAACTTTGAGGACAGAACTGTAACAAACAATAAATATGACATGACAACATGTAAGTATGATGACATCATGCATAAAGGCTCTTTCAGATCAATATTTTATTTCATTTTATGAAAGTGAAATAAAGTCTCATATTTAAACTTCACACCTTTCAGACGACGTCTCAGTCTGTCCTTGCAGAGCTTCACTCACACATCAACTCGTTTTGAGACTAACCCTGACCCACAAAGACTAACCCATACCCACAAAGACCCACAAAGACTCACAAAGACTCACAACCCTGACCCGCAAATACCCACAAAGACTCACAAAGACTAACCCTGACCCTCAAAGATTAACCCTGACCCACAAAGACTCCAGATAAAGTCTGAGTGAAACATTGAGCTGTTTGTGTTCACACATGCATGATTATGACAACTACATGATAATTTCTTCTGTTGATCTAATGGTTTAACCCGGGAGAGATTAGCTCCTTTTCATTTCCTCATCACGGCCCATTCAAAACATTTAAATCAAAATATTCAAGGACTGTCCTGTTTTCCAGGGCTGCCATGTCTTTCAGGACTATTCTATTTTAACTGGACTCTAATACTTTTTAAGGACTGCCATGTTTTCATGGACTGCCATGTTTTTCAAGGGCTGCCATGTTTTCCAGAACTATCCTCACAATGATTTAAAAAAGTCTCAGTCAACCATCCAGGGTGACCAGGGAGCAAAGCTGTGGTTTCACAAAAAGAGGATTTATTTGGACTGAAACAGTTCATAGGATCAATTTCACTCTTTGTTTGTTCAGTCACTCTTCACGCCAGTCCTGCTTTAGCGGGCGACTTGTTGGACATCTGCTAATAATGAAGGACAAACAAATCTCTGTTATTTCCAGCCCTTACACGCGAGTATACCCGTGTATACACAGGTATACAAAGGCACATGCAGGTATCTACAGTGTTGGGTTGTATCAAGTCAACTTTGGTTATATTCTTTAATAATTATATTCAATTATTAATAATATAAATAAAATATTATTAAACTATGTTTAATCTCATTTTGGGGCACCAACCTGTACTCAGGGAAATATAACCAAAATATCACTCAAATCAGTCTCAAATTAGTTACTTATGTACTAATATTATTAATAATTAATAACTATATTTAATAAATTGAAGGCGTGAAATCCGTACACAAAGCCTTCACACCCAGCTTATATCACAATGCAAATACAACCAGTAATCACAAACAACTGCTCTCTTAAATTATAACAGAATTTATTTAAACAAAGCAACATCGTGTGTGTGTGTGTGTGTGTCCGTCTCCGTCTCCGTCTCCGGGGCTTCCTTGACTCTGTACCTCCAGTAAAAACTCGGAGATGTCTTGCAACCATACCCCTTGGTTAAACGAGGACTTACAACTCCTGTGACCAGAGGTGCTGACCGGAAGTGATCAGATGGAGAGCACAGGTGCTGACAGGAAGTGACCACAGTTCATAATAGTTCTAATCAGCATCAAAACCATCCTAAATATCACCATAATCTTCATCATCAGAAGCATCATGTGTGGAGAAGTTAATGAAATAGCGGTCTTTCCCTGTGTATACCTCTGTTTAGATACATATACCTGTGTACACCTGTGGATACCTGTAGATATCTGCGTGTGCCGGTATTCCTGTGTATACACAGGTATCCCAAAAGAACACAATATCTGACCCAGTGGGGATAGGTAAAGTGAAAACAGCAATGGACCCAGTAAAGACCCCTGTGGAGTTCATTCAGCATTTCAGCTAGCAGACATCAAAGCGTACCTCCGCTAGCTTAGCTTAGCACCAGCCTGAACAGTAGTTGAGTGTCAGGTCTACAGTTTGAAGCCTCACCGCTTAGTCTGGATCCACTTTAGTCGTCTAAAAGGTTCCGTGTATCTAAGCAGTCTTTTATTAAATACCTCCTCTCAGAGAAACATCTCCCATATTTCAAACATATGTGTCTGTTATGCTGACGGCAACCTGCAGCTGCACATTCATAACAGACGACCTGCTAAGAATAAGAATCAGAGTCACGTTTAGGATCACTGCTTTCAATAAACACACATGAAAATATACATACATATAGCGGATACATATTATTCTGAATTAATATAAATATTTATGATATGGACAATGAACTAAGTCAAATATAATTAATTAAAATCTTTGGAGCAAAGGATGGAGAAAAGAGAGCCGAGGTTGACGGGACGTTTTCACTGTACGAGGTCACGACTGCTCCCTCTGAGCTCGCATTCATCACACAGGGACTTTGAAACATTGGGTCTTTCCTTTCTTTGCAAACCAGGAGGTCTAACAGAGCCCTGATGATGGATGAACTCTGAAGCCTGGCTCAGTGAACACGTCCTGTACAGCTCGTATCAGAGCTCTCAGGAAAGACATGAACAAAGGTTGAAGGACAGATGTCACCATCTTAAAGATGTCCTCATTTAGTAACTGTAAACCTTTTTGTTCACCGCGGGAGTTCTCCTCGTCTGTTCTCCGTTGACATGGAGAAATGACAACTAGACTCCCTGCTCATCTTTCAACCTCACCTTGGTGACATGCTGTCAGTGAACACATCACAGAGTGAACATGCTGTCAGTGAACACATCAGAGTGAACATGCTGTCAGTGAACACATCAGAGTGAACATGCTGTCAGTGAATACATCGCGGAGTGGACATACTGTCGGTGAACACATCGCGGAGTGAACATGCTGTCAGTGAACACATCGCAGAATGGACATGCTGTCAGTGAACACATCGCGGAGTGACATGCTGTCAGTGAACACATCGCAGAGTGAACATGCTGTCAGTGAACACATGGCAGAGTGAACATGCTGTCAGTGAACACATTGCGGAGTGAACATGCTGTCAGTGAACACATCGCAGAGTGAACATGCTGTCAGTGAACACATCGCGGAGTGGACATGCTGTCAGTGAACACATCGCAGAGTGACATGCTGTCAGTGAACACATCGCGGAGTGGACATGCCGTCAGTGAACACATCGCGGAGTGGACATGCTGTCAGTGAACACATCGCGGAGTGAACATGCTGTCAGTGAACACATCGCAGAGTGAACATGCTGTCAGTGAACACATTGCAGAGTGAACATGCTGTCAGTGAACACATCGCAGAGTGGACATGCTGTCAGTGAACACATCGCGGAGTGGACATGCGTCAGTGAACACATCGCGGAGTGGACATGCTGTCAGTGAACACATCGCAGAGTGAACATGCTGTCAGTGAACACATTGCAGAGTGAACATGCTGTCAGTGAACACATCGCGGAGTGGACATGCTGTCAGTGAACACATCGCAGAGTGGACACATCGCAGAGTGGACATGCTGTCAGTGAACACATCGCAGAGTGAACATGCTGTCAGTGAACACATTGCAGAGTGAACATGCTGTCAGTGAACACATGGCAGAGTGAACATGCTGTCAGTGAATACATTGCAGAGTGAACATGCTGTCAGTGAACACATCGCTGAGTGGACACATCGCAGAGTGAACATGCTGTCAGTGAATACATTGCAGAGTGAACATGCTGTCAGTGAACACATTGCAGAGTGGACATGCTGTCAGTGAATACATTGCAGAGTGAACATGCTGTCAGTGAACACATCGCAGAGTGGACATGCTGTCAGTGAATACATTGCAGAGTGAACATGCTGTCAGTGAACACATTGCAGAGTGGACATGCTGTCAGTGAACACATCGCAGAGTGGACATGCTGTCAGTGAACACATTGCAGAGTGGACATGCTGTCAGTGAACACGTCGCAGAGTGAACATGCTGTCAGTGAACACATCGCAGAGTGGACATGCTGTCAGTGAACACGTCGCAGAGTGAACATGCAGTCAGTCGCAGAGTAAACATGCTGTCAGTGAACACATCGCAGAGTGGACATGCAGTCAGTCGCAGAGTGGACATGCTGTCTGTGAACACGTCGCAGAGTGAACATGCAGTCAGTCGCAGAGTGGACATGCGGTCAGTGAACACATGGCAGAGTGAACATGCTGTCAGTGAACACATCGCAGAGTGGACATGCTGTCAGTGAACACGTCGCAGAGTGACATGCTGTCAGTGAACACAT